GTAGATATCTTTGGGGAGTAGCCCTGAGAGGATGTTGTTACCAGCACGAAAAATTTGTAGTTTTGAACACCTCCCAAGTCCAAGAGAAATGCTACCATTGAATGCATTGAGGGAAAAATCCAACAGCCTAATCAAGGGAGAAGAATGAAGACATATAGAGGATGGGATCAAACCTGAGAAGCTATTGTTGTGGACGTTGAAACTAGTTAAATTCCGAGCTTGTTGAAAGAATGATGATGGAATTGCACCATGGAAGCGATTGCTTGACAAATCCAATGTCTGGATATTGTGGGATGGTAGAGAAAAAGGTAGCTTTCCAGAAAGAAGATTAAAGCTTAAATCAAGGATCTCAAGACGATTCAAAGACGAGAAGAATTCTATTTCAAGTGATCCAGAAAGTGAATTGTGAGAGAGATTTAAGTGGGCGAGGTGTGTGAGATTTCCTAGTGATGATGATGAGGGGAAAATAGCTCCTTTGAGACCTTTGGAGGATAAGAGCAAATGGGTGACCAAACCATCCTGATTACAAGTGATGCCATTCCAACAACAACAGTTAACTGAAGTCCACTTTAAGGGGGGAGAAGATAGGGTGGAGGTGAAGGATAGAAGAGAGGCGCGCTCAGTTTGGTTGCATGCATGAACATTTGTAGAGATGATGTGAGAGAATAAGAGGATGAGAAGAAAGCCATGAGCCATTGGGTTAGAAAGCAAGTTGGTCTAGCATGGATATGTTTCTTTACATTCGGAATTCTCAAAGGTATATATAGAGCAACTAATTGCGTGCATAATCCGAAGTTCTTTTGTCTTCTTCCTTTTTTCAGCCTGCAAACGATGAATCATTAAAGCTCGAAAACGATAGCGGTAAACATCACAGCAATCTGAAAAATTGGCAAACAACCATAACCGTACAAATATTCTGAATTAAGGAGGGGCCACCATGAAGGGACTAGAACTTATCCCTTTGTTTCTAGGGGGTAGTTGGAAAACCAAACGGGGCATTTAATTTAGAGGAGCAGAAGAATACGAAATGACACCGAACACGGTTTTCATACATACATGTTGGTTAGTATTATCAACATTTCGTATTTGGCGTGCCAAAACTTGAATTGACTCAACTAAATAGAAGTTATCTAGTTTCTATCTAAGTGAGTCGTCACCTAAGCAGTGTAGACAGGTGCCTAGACGAGTGCCTAGGTAGATCTAGGCGCCGTTTCTTATTTTTAGACGCCTCAGAATTAATCGTGTCAGTGGCCAGCCGCCTAGGACCTAGGCGGGCTATGGCGGCCCTAAGCAAGGCCTTTTAACATAGCACTTCAAAGTCTACGACGGGCCATGTTTAGCAAATTAGTTGAAGACAACAACATTCAAAAGCACTAATGCCGTTCTTGTTAGGTAATTAAAAAAAACATAAGAAAATCCTAAAACTAACCAGATTATACTTCGGTCTATGAGTTAACTCCCTCTTCAGTCTCTTTTGGTCCGAGCAACATCAACAATGTATTGATTCAAGTGCTGACCACATATTTTGGTAGAGAATGACCCTGTGACATGCCGTCGTGCTTCTATACCCCTTCTCTGAGCCATCCGTGGGTCTGTTATGAGTTTAGCCTTAGCCAAAGAGAACTCTCTTGGGTTACAGTCACACAGAAATCCTGTCTCACCATTCTTCACTGTCTCTACAGGGCCCCCACTGTTGCACGCAATGACAGGTTTATGAGCAACCATTGCCTCCAGAGGTACAATGCCAAAGTGCTCATCCGGCATATTTGAATATCTCATCAATTTCATTCTCCCCACAATATCTGATAAACGGAACAAAATAATGTAATTTTCCCCTTTGGCGCATAAAGGACGCATAGGCATTGGGAGAGAAGTGCATTTCTTTCGGCTGTCAAGCAAGAGGTGATGAAGTTAACTTGATTGGACACTCCTTCCGTTTCTGCTAGACTTCTGAGCACCTCTAAGTACTCAACATTTTCTCTCAAACGATTATCAAAGCCACCTAAAACATCGGACATGTATTATATTTATCATTCCCGTATGTGTTCATATGCAGATCTACCAATCAATTAAGGAATGATACATGGGTATATCAATGTTAAATTAAAGTCAACCAGTGCACCATTGGAGTAGAATTGATTCCTCTTGGTACATGACCCACATAAGGGTTGACACCAAACCCAAGAAACTTCTTCCAGGTCATTTCTTTGGACTTAATGGTCACTCTGTGTGTGTGTGTGTGTATATATATATTTTTTTTTTCACATATTTCATGCAAAACGAAGTGGAAATATCTTCACAAAGAACAAGGGAAAATTTGAACACCCCATACAGGGTTCTGATTCAGCTGTACGTCAAACAAGCTTATAAAACTGTTCATAAAGGGACATAAGATACTGTAAGATAACAGCACAATAGTTCATTGCTATTTCGACCACATACGTTTTTTTCTCTTCTCATAAATTACAATTCTAGGATTGGCTATGGGTCTAAGCCTTCCCTAAAAATTCTAGATATATGTTAGTGTTTCATAATTTACCAAGAAAAACACAAAAGAACATCTTTCCACATCCAGATGCAAATGTTAAATTGCAGGATCCGTAAAGCTCTCAACAGGCAAATTAAGAGGGAAAGCTTAATCACACAACCAGGGTGATTACTGCATGCTTCTACTTGGTTATTCATAGCCTAACTAACAGATAAACAGTCTTCAACAGCAACATAAGTAATGAAGGAACATGCATTTCCGTGTAGAATCGTTAAGATTAGTAGAGTACTCAGGGGAGATAATAAGTAGGAACTTGCCTGCAATTGTCAAGGAAGCTTCAGCCAGATCAGAACCTTGAAGCATATCCCCTTCGAGCGTATGAAGCAAAGCAAAAGCTGAGATTGCCAGGTCTATATTCTTTTTCCTCTCAAAACGATTGATAGACAGAAAATTTAGCCTGGAATGAGAAAACCAAAGCAGGAAAAAAAAAATAGTAACTACCCGATGAAATTCTGAGAAGAAAATCTTCAAAGTTATGGTTAGATGTAGAATTATAAAGGTAGTATAAATTAAAACCAATGGGCACCAGCAGATATACAAACATGTTCGTAACTTGTAAGAATTGGCTGGTTCATTAAACTGATTCACATTGACAGCTGGCTCAATCCCTCGTGCGTCAAGATGCTTAAATGTCTTCACAAACATAGATGCTGTGACTTTGCTGTTAACAAGAATCTTATCTGCCATTCCTGCAGCAGTATTTACCAAAAAGAAAAAGGAAATCTAGTAAGAAATAGTAGTATACTATATCCACAACAAAATAACACTGAAAAGATGCACAAGAAAAATTAGATGAATGTCATAAAGCCCAGATATGGAATCAGACCAGTTGTCATTTCTTCTATGAAGTCTATGGGTTTTCTATATATCCTCCTCAAAACAGTTGTGTGTTGACTGTTGAGACAGCAATAAATCCGGAAAATGACAATAAAACAAAACCAGAACAGAAGGATGCAATGCTTTAACAACTCTAATACCAGATGCTACCGGATAACAATTCATACGAAATAGGTGCAAATACCTTTGTTGCCTTCTTAAGCTTCAGCAGTGGGATGACAACAGAAACCTTATCTGTTAGTATTACATCAAACGATGGCCACATGACCAGCATGCAGAGAGCAACAAAAAGGCACCGTATATACGCACACCAAGCATGGAGTCGATAGAATGTATGTCGGGGTAGGAAGGCACCATATACAGTAACTGGAAAGATACCTGTGAAACCAAATGACAGTAAAACATCAAACTATGCAGTGATCTTGAATGACAGTTGATCAACACGAAACTGAGAAAAATAAAAAAACGAAAGAAAGGAAAGCATGTTCTATTTGTTCCAACTTCTATACATTCCCAAAGGGCCTAAAAAAAGTGAAACGTATAAACCACCTTCTAACCCAGGCCTAACATCCATCTATATACGTAGTACCCTATTTGATGAAACTCCTATTTACCATATTAGAATGTGAGCATTCAACCCAAAAACAACTTGCGACAGGTGGAGAGGCCCAAGATAATGAAAACATTTATGCAAGTCTTTCATTCCCCGACATGGGATTCACACCCTCAACAGGAATGTATGTATTTTTAATCATTTGTCTCGTCGATTACACACACCAGGACTTCCCGCTTTGAAATTATTTCTTCCTAAAACAATCCATACTATTTTCTGTACACAGAAACAAAAAAGTATTGTTTTCTTCTCGTATATGTAAACAGGGACATCATCTAAATCTTCCATTAAAACTCAAAAACAGAAATTACAATCTCCTTTCTGCAACTTCATTTATTTATTTAAGGTTTGTCTTCAGTATTCCGAACTACTGGAAGTCCGACTTTTTATCTATTAGATTGGCAAGTAAGAAAAATAGTTATTTCCTCAATTCAATCACAACCTTTCATTTCTCATACTACTGATACTTTGATGAAAAAAAATGATTTACTTGATCAAAGCATAAAATTGAAGTAGAGAAAGCCACACACACCAGAAACGGTCTCCTCAAAGCATCGATTTTTATCGTGGTGGGAAGTGAAAACGAGAAATTTATGGCCATGGGATGCAAGTTCGACAGCCGCGTCGACGATCAGTCTTTCAGCTCCACCTACCCATCACACTAACAACATAAAAAGCTCAATCCCATAAACTCCTTCACAATTTTCAAAAACAACAGAAGGAAAAGAGAAGAAGAAGAAGTTACCGATGCCCAAATCTGGATGAATGATTGCAACGTTCAACTTGGAGTCTCCTTTCTTCTCCGCCATTTTTTTCAGCTTCTCCCTTCTCCCCAATTCTCTGCAGAATTCTCGGTCTCAAAAGGTGAAACCTTTTCAAACATATTGGGCCGAAACGGGTCGGGTATGACCTAAACTGTGTGATTATAAAACTATTTGAAATGGGTTTTTGCATAAATATAGCACCCAAGTTTACAGTTTCGGGCCAAAGCAGTCGTCTTTCGCGGTTTCTCCCCTCTGAATATGATTCTCCCAAACAGAACAGATGAGAGAGTTTGTGACGAAGGAAGAAAAATGGGTGGAGAAGAAAGAGCGGACCCACCGGCCCCGAAGGTCCTCCGTCTCCTCTATTTCGTCGGCGCCGGATGTAAGTCATAATCTTTCAGATTTCACAATTTAATTTGGTTTCTAGAGAGAGAAAGTGTTCTTCTTCCTTTTTTAGAGAGAGAGTGTGTGTTGTAATTTGAAGTTTTGGCTGATTTTTTTGTGTGTAGTTATTTGCACCGTTGGAATCAGTAAGTAGCGCGAGATGCAGCGCAAGTCCATGGCTTTACAGCAACAGCAGCAGCTCCCCGAAAATGCTGCAAATGCCCTTGAGTGATGTCAGGTTTTTGTTTGAAATTCTTGCTGAATGTGTGAAACAGTAACAATTTGAGTGATTTGTTCTGAAATTTTGCATAAATATGAAATCTTGCTGTGTTTTGAGCCGGATTTTCGAATTTCGCCGCGGAATTTGGCAATCTGTCTCAGCTTTTAAGTTTATATGTGCTGCTCCTTGTGAACTCTAAATAGAATGATCGAACTTTAGTAGTTTGGTTGTTGAATTTCACGGCCGAATAATAAAAGAATTCGTATCCTTCGATGTATAAAATTATACCGAATATGAATAATTCTTGGCATAATGCAAGAGTCCTGGCGACCAAAAAACAAGTTGAGATTGGAGTCAGATAGGGATTGGGGATGAATTTTCGATTAGTATTCTTTTCAGCTTTCTTCTCTGTCAAATTTTCTGGAGTTTATTCTTTGATTCATGCAGTATGCAAACTTCCTCTGTGTATGCGTGTGTGTTTTGCGGGGATATTGTGATTGCAAAAGAGCTTTTGCTTGTTGTAACATACATGTCTATTGGACTGTTGAAAGATGAAGTTTTCGCCATTTGTTGCGTGAATAATGGTAGGGAATAGTTCAGGCAATCCCATAGAAATACCACAGCAATGCATGATTCTAGTTTTTCACAGTCGACGATCATACATTGCACTATATTAAAACGTTGGGTGGAGGCACAACTCGTAGTCTTGAAAAATTGGATTTTATGTTTGTGGACGTTTTATTTGTGAACATGTTTTGATGTTAGACGTTAAACCATCTTCGAGTATGTGAACAACGGGAATGCTATAAGACTATTAGTGAACTTAAAACCTAGTGATAGCACCAAAAGAGGCAATTTGTTAGTAATTTGTAGTGGCAGTGAACTTGGTAGTTCAATATTCTTATGTCATGGATTTTGCAGCACGCTTTTGAGCTTGCTCGTTTAACTGTTCTCGGATGATTATGCGCTAATCTTTTCAAGTTTAACTTCTAATTAAATGTACAGTGTACTATGAGGCCGTTACTCTACTAAGTTCTGCAAGCTTCACGTATCGAAGGCTACATGTAATGGTAGTTCTCTTCAAAACTTTCAGTGTATTTCTGCAGAAAACTGTCAAAATCGGTTCTGTTATAAGAGTGGAGTTCGTTAAAGACAGAAGGTCTGCAACTGCTTTGAGATAAAATAGTTTAGCCAATACTGATTGTTCAGATGTTGGAGAAGTTACCTACCAAACATGTTTTTGAGTTTTAAAAATTTAAATCAAAACATGAGTTTTTAAGAAACTAAATTTTTGGTGTCCAATTCTCAAATAAGATACCAAACGGCCCCTAAAATTCCTTTCAAGCCTTGGTTTTTCAAGGATATGACCTTTTTTATGGACAATAAGGATATGGCATGTTTGAATGTCTAAGGAAGTTGGATAATAAATTCAAGTTACACTCAAACTGATAAGAAAAACCATAAGAGCGTGTTTACATACGTGGAATCAAAATAAGCAAGAATCTTGTTACAAGGAAATCAACGTGAGAAAGAAATATAAAAGGCATTCTCATGTTTACTAACTATCAAGAATCAGAATAATAATAAAGTTGAATCTCAACAAAGTGTTTACGAACTATTAGGAATAGGTATAAAAATTAAATTGAATACTAAAACGTTTTTGGTAAAAATAAATTTTCCTTTTCATCACAAGAAAAAAGTGAAAGGACAGTTCTCGTATAAAATAGTTTGTGAAATGAGCTCAGACGATTGTCCATTTTTGGAACAAAAATGGACTTGAGCATGTGCAATTGGTGGCATCATAATGTTACACTTCCGGCGTATGACTGCATCAATCAGACAAAAAAACAAGTCAAACAAACAAACATACAAGATTGTTCCTCGCTCTCGGCGATGATCGATTTGTGCACTAGTATAGGTTTATTGTGTTCATTGTTCTTTTGACAAATTTATATTGGTGCACTTGTGCTTGCTGAATTGTTTGTAAAAATTCATGCTAGCATAATGTCTTGATTATTGGAGCTATATACCCAATTGACACATTTATACTTATTTATTATAATTCATGAAATATCGCTATCGTTTTTTGTCAAAAAAAAAAAAAAAAAAAAAAAAAAAACATACAAGATTGTGGGTCATTGGATTTCAAGTTAATTAAATGGGTAAATCTCAGTTTACTACCCTCATGTTTCGTGGTTTTTAACATTTAGTACATCAAATTTTTTTCGTCTTAGAGTCATACCTAAAGTGTTAATTTTGGAACAGTCTCATACATCCGTTAGTCAAACTGTTAAGTTTGCTATTAACTAATGACGTGGCGCTTATATGGACAATAACTGGACGCCACATGTTATTAAGGGACCGTGTGGATTTTTTTTAGAAGGGATTAAACTTTTCAAAATTTAAAAAAAAAACATCCGTCTTCCACCTCCCTCATCCCCCCGCACCCTCTCCCTCCCTTATCTTTTCTGCAACCTGCACCACCCTCCCTTCTCTCCTCCTTCCTCCCTTATCCCTCCATTCTCTCATCTGCACCAACCCACCATGTCGCGGTTCTCGATCTCGCCTTGCTGACCGGTTCTCGATCTCGCCGATCATGTCCACAAACACCACAGAAAATTTTCTGATGGGTTCTCTTCGTCGCCATTGACAATGTTGGATTTTCACTGCTTGCTTTACATTCTGATTCTTTGCATTCCCAAAGCCGCTGTGTTCGCCGTCATCGCCGCCACCGAATTTGACTTCGGCACCTTGACTCTGAGCAGCTTGAATCTCATTGGCGATGCCCACCTGAGCAATTGGAGTGTGCGGCTCACCCGCGACCTCGGCCGTTCCCAACTCCGGCGCCGGCCGCGTTTTATAATCCAAACCCATTCGCTTCTGCCAGCCTTCATCCCAGTCCCGACGAACTTCTCATAGTCCTCTTGGCTTCCATTCATTATCCATATAGGCGTCTCGTCATCAGTTAACGGCAGATTTAACAGTTTGATTAACGGATGTATGAGACTGTCTCAAAATTAACACTTTAAGTATGATTCTGGGATGAAAAAAAACTTGATGTACTAAATGTTGAAAACCACGAATCATAAGGGTAGTAAACTAAGATTTATCCAAATAAAATATTCATCATACTCATCATACGCACATTGACCTTTTGAAACACACAATTATGTTGGCAAGTTATTTTTCAAAGGAAAACTAATGAAAAAAACTTGAAAACTTTAAATTTTAACGATGAGGATAAAATAAAGGGTGTAGTGAATAATATCAGGATTGACTTTTTAATGTAAAACTGTGGTTTTTTTGTTAAAATAAACAGTACCAGATGTTTTTCGTTAAAGTTCTCATCTTTCAAAATGTTCTGCCCTTTCATGCAAACATTGAGCTTAAGTTTGGTGCAAGCGTGCAGCTACAACCTCAAACGCTCATGACTTCGTTGAATTTGAATTAAAACCAGTATAATTACCAAACTGTCTATATTCTAAAAAAATTTATTTATTTGCTAGGTCATAACAATTTCCACAACAACATATACTTATAAATTAATTTATTTGCTAGGTAATAACAATTTCCACAACAACATATACTTATAAATAATAGAAACTTTTGACCTTTTTATAATACAAACCATAATTTGTTTGCCCCTTTTTCACCTCTTTAAAACCTGATTTTTTTTTTCCTTAAAAAATACTTCTTCCGTTGCAATTTCGCTTTACAATTAAGCATTTCTCCAAACTGCTACGCAGACTTTAATTGCCCTACCTGTTATTGTTTTGGTCATCATCTCCAAATTGCTATAAATACACCCCAACTCTCAGAATGCAATTCTAACCTCCCACCAGGGAATCTAATTCCTCCAAAAGGAGAGTTGACTTCCATTTTTCATGTGGCCACACAGTCTTGATTTATCCACATCTTAATAAAAACAAGAATGATTCGTAATCAGAATTAAACACTTTATTTTCATTCCGATTACGGATGTATAAACACGTCATTAAAGTCTCGTTCAATACAAAACCATTAACCGCGAACTCTACTTAATTGTTACTGATCAACTATATAAAGATCCATTTACCGTAAGGGGTGCCAAAAGTAGGGCTACAGATTGGAGTTAAGTTGTAACAAGGTAACCGTACTTGAAAGTGAGGCTGCTTATTTAGTACCTTTTCGACTATGTGCTTAGGCGAGTACTTTGCAAATCTTAAGCGATTGAGGCTAAATGTGTGAGAAATTCAAATGGAACTAAAACTGGACTACACAAGATTATGAAGGGTAGTGATATCCACACCCATTTTCACTTCACACATCCCTCTTAATTTTCAGCCGGTCAGATCGAATGAATTTACGAAAATCAATGGCCAAAATTAACAAGAATATGTGAGAGCTAAAAACGGGTGTGTGAGTAGCACTTTCATATTATGAAGGCATACATGAGGAGTTTGTAAATGACTCATTCCAGCTAGTGAAGAATATCCATCTTATATGCTTTTGTAATGCTTGTTGATTTCATTTCTAATTATCTCTATCTAAAATGTGTAGTTCACTTCTTACTAACTTGACATCAATCTGTTTAAAACTTGAAGGCTTCTCGACATATCATTCAGTTACTAATTTCTACACTAATTTCCCTCTTTAGTGCCGCGATCATAGATTCATAAATATAATGTATATAACCAGATGATGAGTTCAAACTCAAACGTAGGTGCCTTTTTTTCCAAAAAAAAAAAAAGGTGCACCAGTTTCCTCAACTACTAGAGTTTGTTGTGTTGATCTTTATGATTTATCCTAGAAGAAGTTGGCTAGGTCTACGATGTTTTTCAAATGTTATTATACTGTTTGATAGTTGTTAGCTTCACTTTCCATTCTGCTGTAATTATGAAATTCATACTTCCCATGTAAATAGGGTTTACAGGCCCTGAATGTAATCTGAAAACTGTTATAAGCAGAAGCAAGCCATCCTTGTGAGGGTATGCAATTGAAGTGAAAAACCTCCAGTCTACGTTCTAAAACTGTACCTGCTGCAAACTAGACTGAAAAGAAACTTACATACTCTTCATAGGATAACTAAACCAAGTTGTCGCCAATCATAAATTTTCCAATTTTTTTCGATTTTTAATTGACCAAAAAACTTGATTTCACAGCAGCCCCAAATGGCAATAAAATTACCAGAAAC